CGCTTTTAAAGATTCCCCGTTTTAAAGATTCCCGCTTTTAAAGATTCCCCATTTTAAAGATTCCCGCTTTTAAAGATTCCCCATTTTAAAGACTCCCGCGTTTAAAGATTCCCCATTTCAAAGATTTCCCGTTCCCCGTTCCCCGTTCCCCGTTCCCCACTCCCATTCTCCGATTCCCCGTTCCCAATTTTAAATAGCCAATTTCAGACTCAGTCGTTGTCACTCCTGTCAAGTACATTACCATCAAGCTTTCGGCAGTTTGCAAACAAGTTGAATAAATTAATTAAGCGCAAAAATAGCGGTTCAAAAAAACTAGCTACACTCTTTCTTTTTTATAAGAGTATTGTCTTTCCGGCCCAGGCTGAATATTGATATATTTCTGCCGATTTTAGGCTGAAAATGTTCTTGTAGTATTCTTGATTTATGGCCGACTTTGACATTTAATTTAACATATGGCTTTTTGTTTTACTTGTCTCCTAGCTTTGTTATTTAAAAAAGAAAGAATTTATCCTGAAAATTTTGCGGTTTAGTTCATGTCTTTTGCATTGTACATATTTTGTACTGCACAAATACATTACGTGTACCGCTCATCATTGAACATTTAATTTGGCTATCGCTAGTGAAGAGTGTTCCGTTTGTTGGCTAGTTTTGCCGTTTAGAGAAAGGAATAATTTTATACAGTTAAGTAAACACATATCATTGTATTGTATTTACAGATTTTCAACGCACGAAATTATATTCTTTTCACAATTTCAGCCTCAGGTTTATTCTTAAAATATTCTTAAAATTTTGCAAATTTCAGCCTCGATATTCTTATAAAATATATTCTTACAAAAACGAAAGAGTGTAATGCATAAATGACATATCATCTTATCGCAAAATACTCACAAAAGCTGCGCTAGCCGGTCTTACGTTACATTGCGTAACGTCTGCTCTGGCCCCGTTCACAATTCGCCGTATAAATTTTAAACCGGTGTTTGCACTCTGAAAAAGCATCATGCACATGTTTTCCGTCCACACCACGCCGGAGAAATTTGAAAACGCAACAATCACCGGTCATTTTAGATTTGTGTTTGAAGAAAACTCGCACAGGGAAATGGCACGATCATCGCGATGTCATCGTTTTCGAAAAGCTTCGTTTTTAAAATGTTTTCTGCCCACACTAAAACGTAACGTCGGTGTTTGCAAATTCCTCCGATTTGAAGAGCGTTTTCGAAAAGCTCCGTTTTCGAGACGGATTAGCGTAGACGGTGAACCTAACCTTAGAAATAAAGCTGCGTTTTCAAATTTCTTCGCCGCTGTGAACAGCCGGCATAAAAAGCGCAAAGCGAACTTGTTTTATTATCTTTTAGGATAACATGCTAACTTAGTCACGAGTTTTTAGTCCGACATTTAAATAGAAACAACGCACTTAATTTGAAGAAAGTGAATAACGTAGGATTCTTGTTGGCATGTAGAAGCCCTATATATATAAGTAGACTAAGTTAAAATCTTCATCGCTGATTACTTAGAAAACTTTTTATAAAAAGAAAATAAGGCTTATGAGTCTGCAACGACAACCCAGCTTAAACCGACAAAACTGTTCCAAACGAGAATTACCTTACGGATCATGCAAGCGGCGGAAGGCCCTTTTTTGCCCTGAAGATGACATAACATCAAAAACTCTTGATTTTTTTTTTTTTTTCACTTTTGTACTTTTTTTTTATACATATCCTTTTAGCCTTATAAAATAAGTTGTTATAAAAAGGTTACTCAAACTCCGCAATTACTGTGTCTCACAAGCATAGAATGGGGTACTTTACAAAGCTAGAGTAAAATAATTGAAAAGGCAAGACAAAAATAAACATTTAAACACGGACAAACGATAAGTCATTCACATGCTGTTATTTATATAACTGGCGCGAGACTCGTTTATACAAAATTGGTTCGAAACACACTTGTCATAACTTGCCACCAGTTTAAGACTGTTTATTCTTTCACAAAAAACAAAACATCTGTAACAGTTGCCTTTGAATCTGAAGCAGGTCTCGATATTTCTACTTCTATTAAATTCCCTGTGGTACGAAAGCTTCGGCTCGCATTGCGATGAAGTGTCCGAGTGCCAAACTGAGGAACTTGAAATCTAGCTTACGGTGATCATAATAACAGAGGCACATGATGATGCCCAACAAAGGTTGTCATGAACTTCCAACAGCAAAGTGGAACGTCGCATTAACAACTGTCCTGGGTCTGCTTATTTCTTTTATCGCGTGCTCTACAAACTTGTTAATACTCCTAGCAATATACAAGAAGCCGGCTCTACGCTCTATTACAAATTATTTTCTTGCTTCGCTGGCTGTCGGTGATTTTTTTGTCGGGATCGTTGCTCTGCCGCTCTGGATCACACGATCACTCTTAGTCGTCGACGAGGAACATCCTCTGAGTATTTCTGTGGACTGCGTTTACGTTTTGTCTGTTGCTATCTCAACATATAATTTGTGCACTGTCAGCTTAGAAAGATATGTTGGAGTGATGTTTCCTTTACGATACAGCGCCATTGTCACCCTAAGACGTTTTCGATGCGCAGTAGCGTGTGTTTGGTTTCTGTCAAGCTTCATCGCTTGCCTGCGTTTGGTAACCAAAGATCATGAAGATACTTACTGGATCGTAGTTGTTTCTACAGTGTTTTTTATCCCGGGTATAATTATTTCGTACTGCTATGTTTGCATTTTTAAAGAAGCGTCTCGTCAGTCCAGAGCCATCGGCCAGCAAAGTGGTTCGGCGTTAGCAAATCAAGTGCACAATAAAAAGGCTTCCATAACCATTGCTATTGTCATTGGCGTGTTTTATTTGACGGCCTTACCAATTATTGCCTTTTCAATAACTGAGGTGACTTCAGAGAAGGACATGTGCCAAGAGAACAAAGAATTTGAATCTTGGGGAACTTGGGCACTTTTCTTCGCTTACTCAAACTCAGCCATTAATCCGTGGATTTACGCTGCCAGGAAAAGTGAATTTAGAGAGGCTTTAAAAGTGTTAATGTTTTGGAAGCAATCTGCGTGAGCTTTCTGTTTTCATTCATGACCTTAGAATTTGCAATACAGTATAGTGCGATCGGAAATTTTAAGCAGGGGACGAAACCTGCAATATCTTGATTCTTTATAGCTGCTTATAGAATTTTCAAAAGCAAACAGTCTTAAAGTCTGAGCAATATCGAAGACTCAACTCATATTTTTAATTTCGAAGTTACCGGACTGTATTGCGTTTTTCTCCCTTATTAAACTATGCTTTGCTTCTTTGTTCCCCAGTGTATTATAATGTTAATATCAGGAAAAGCTTTTAAGAGAGCTTTGCACGTATGATGCCGACGTTGAGTTATCTTTCCAAATGAAATGTCAAAATGATGCAGGTAAAATCAACGGATTCCAAAAACCTAAATTAACACTGCAAATGTACTATTTGGACGGATTATGGTAACGCTTAAGCAGAGCAAGAAATACTCTAAAAAAAAAAATAGGTAGAACAACTGAAAAACGATAATAAAGCAGCAGATAAGAAATCAAAGTAAATGTGCTAAAAATATCGGTAACAGCTGTAAACACATGTAAAATAAATTAACAACTTTTACTGCAGAGAACCATTTTAACTCATTATCCTCCTTCAGAAGTTTATTTTGAAGATCGTATAACTGATCGTACCTTACCCCCATGTTCTCTTTTTATTTCTCTATCCGCCAATACTTTATCTTAACTCTACGTGTTGTTTCTATACCCAGGTTTACGAAAGATCCGTCAAGTCTCCTTGTAGACAACGGAAACTTCTTCACAGGAAAAACAAAAAATTACCTTTCACCAAAAAGTAACGCACGCGTGTGAGGTAACGTTTAAAACATTGTAAATACAAGGAAGAAAGTTCTTAGAATGTCTAAATATATCATGAACCACAGATCAGCTAGCCTACATGCAGTAAGAGTGTCCTCAACTGTAAGAGCAGGGCTACTCTTAAGCGGAGTAAAAGCGTTACTGGGGCCAATTCTTCTCCATTTGTATATAGAGTATTCACGAAATTGTGAGAGCAAAAAAATGCTACGTAGATTAATTACCAAGCTTGCATGGTACAGTTAAAGGACAGCGGCTTTTTTCTTACTTGTTAACGTACAGTGTGAAGAGAAATATATGGCCGAAAAGATTAACATATATAGGTAATCAAATGATTTTGAGTGCAATTTGGAATAAATACGCACAAATACATTGAGTGCATAAAAATTACACGAGCCCGAAGAGCAAATGCAATTTGCAGTCTTTGAAAAATTTACGAGTGCTTCTAAATTCCAAATTGCCCGAGAAAAACCTTTTGCTTTCTTGTTAATAACATATACGCAATGTAATTTCAATTTTCTGCACTCAACTTCACCTTTCTGCTCTGTCTGGGATTAATTGACGCGCTCTCAGCCAATCACGTGCTGAAAATTTTGCAATTATATTATTGATCCTATCCGTTGCAATATTCTTGATCGTGATTGGTTCTCCGCGGGCCTATTTGCCGCGTAATCGGAGTGCGAAAACGTGAGCGTCCAATTACAGGTATTTACAATAAAGTTTCCATATCACGCGCGCTCTGATTGGCTGAAACAGCGTGCTTTATCAGAGAACAGAGCACGGGTTGATGACAGTAAGCTGGCTTTCAAATTTTTGCTTCAGAATTTTG